CCACCAAACCCCCCAAATCCTTATCTGTATTGCTGCCATCCAGCCAGGTGGCACCCATTTTGTATTTTTTTTATACTATTGTTCCCAAGGTAAAACAAGGATAAGTGCTGGAATTTAAACAATCCAGGCTCTCTTTCTTGCTAGAGTTTATAGCTATGCAGGGACACACCTCTTGACTACTTCCATGAGAAAAAAAGTCAATATAGAAAATAGTATTGGCAAAGTTAGTAAACTGCTTTGTTCCTTTGTGTCAGCAGTGCTGTCTTGTTGGAGGCCCTGCTTTGTGTTTTAAAGGCTATATAAAAACTAGTGTGCTTGGATGCTTCCTGTAAAAAAAACGGTATCCAGTGACACCTCTCACAAAGAGGGGTCTTAGCTTCAGGGGCCTGGCTAGGCTCTGACTACGTTATTTATATTCCTCATGTACTTCCCAATGAATGCAGTTCTTTATGTTTGATCCCAAGCTACTGATTAGCATCTCTAGACATGCGGCCATGTTAGGTTGCAGGAAACTAATAAACTCCCTTGTGCCCTAGCCAGCCCCTCCACAGCACTTTGAGCCAGGTCAGAGTAGCCCCAGGGTGACAGGCTGACCCCTGGGGTCCCCTGCCAGCCAGGGCTGCTCCAACCTGGTTCAACATGCTGCAGTCCCAAGTGCATGTTCAAACAGCATACCTGGGAGCAATAAACTCTGGTGTGATATGCACCACAGTTTATTGCTGCAAATTAGTTACACGTGTAGATGGTCCCACTGTGCTCAACCAAAATGTTGACTAAATTTCACTGTAGTGGGTGAAAGGGAGGATGAAGGATTCCTATCTATATGGAGCAGATATCAGTAACCTAATTGGTACCTAATCTCCTTTCTACCTACTGTTGATTACATCCCTCTAGTTCTTCCTTTGCTTGAATATCACTGCAAGTTCAGGAAGATTGACTGCTGAGAAGCACAGCCAAACTTGAGATAAAGCCCAAGAACAAATGCCAGAAATATAACTCCCAGTTCTATAGTTAAGCGCTAAAAGCATTACCCTGATTTCTGCCCTGACCTTTGTTTAAGCTGATGGGTGTTAAAAAAATTAGCAATAAATGATGAAGAATAGATATTACTGCCTATTATAACTGTAGTGGAATAAAACAGGGATTATATAACTACATACAGTCCTACCAGTGTTTGTTTTCATGAGACAAGAGACCATTACAGGAAACAGTATTGGGGACTTAAACAGATGCTACTCTCCCCTTCGTGTCAGTACTGATTCCAGCCACCGAGCATGTTTGAGAGTCATTGGTCTTGATGCCTAAATATTAAAGCTGGATGAGAAACAGATTTTCTGTTTTGTAAGGAATGCCATAATGTGAAGGGGAAAAAATCCGGGGCAAGACAGAACAACAGCAATTCTGAGTCAAGCAAAATGCTCTGTTTTGATACAATCAAATCTTTCCATTTTGATTGCGTATTTTTTTATACTTTAAAAATAATGTCAAGAATGTGTTGGCATTACTGAGCTGCTTCACTTAATTCTTTCCCAAAATGCATTTTGTTGAACGTGATGTATGTTGAATTATTTAGAGTTTTGCCTCATTGAAAAATACTGTTTTCAGGAAAGAATTTTGAGAAAATATGTATGGTCAAATCTACTGAATTCAGACCTAGGACATTAGGCACACAATTTGGAAAATCTCTGGTAGTGTATTTTCTGTTGAACATTTGGAAAGCCAGAAGGTTGGAAACTTTTTTCTTTTATCTTTCTTTCTCCTCATTTGTCCCCATCCATCTGCACAAACCCCCTGCAAGGCTGCAAACTTCCACTTGGCTTTGAAACTCTGGCTGTGGGTCATCTAAATACACTGCTCAAAGCTCTAGATGATAGGAGTCATTTCAGAGCCTCAGACAATAGCATAGCTATCTACTGGTCCTCGCTATTTGAGTTAATATAAATATGCATGGCATAATATGACCCGTTTGCCCTCAGAGTCAGACTACACTGCAGGCACATGCTGTGTGGCAGCAGTCAGATAGAAACCTCTGGGCCAAACTCCGTATGGATGGCAATGATGGCATAACCTACTCAGAAAATGAGGGCAACTCAAATCAGGGGAACTCACATTAGCTTGGCTATGAAAGAGGAATACAAATGACACTCAGAAAAGGAGTTTTAGGAAGAAAGGTGCAGCAGGTGACATGAAGTGAATCGGATCCTTTCTTTTATACCCTGCAGAGTATGGCTTCTATATGGTGACAATTCTCCTTACACAGGAGGTTGGGAAGTTGTCCCATTGCAGCGCATACACTGCTAGCACAAAGCTGGAAAGCGCTGGCTCAAGTCACATTTTACAGTTGACACAGTGATGTCAGAGTGGCTAAACAGGGGAATTTTTCATCTTAAAAAATGAGGTTTCATTTAATCCTTAGTTGCAGCTGCCCTTAAGGATTTCAGAAATAATATATAAAAATAATAGAACATTTGAGAGCATAACTGAATATTTTACCTCTTCTGTTATGTCATAGCAGAACATGTCAGCACTGCTACACATTATGTGCTTAAAGTGACATGGCACAAAATAAATGTAAAAATAATGTAAAGATGAAATGGCCTGTAAAATAAAATTTGAAATGACATTTCAGAATCCCACGCTCAACATTTCCCATAGACATACAGTCAGCTCTCCATTTGTCTCACTTTGGCAGACAGCACGTTAGACAGAACCACCACACCGCATAATGGGCCATTTTATAGGTAGTTTCATTAATGCTGCCACTGCGATGAACCTTCCAGATTACAGCGCTACCACTGAGGCTGCTTTTGGCCCCGGCTTGCTGCTCTGGCACTTGCACTGGCTGCAGGCCAGATCCAGATGGGTGCTGCAAGCCTCTTTATGGTGCCACTAACCATACCCCTTGCTAAACAGTGCGCAGCGCTGTTAATTTGCAGTGTCAGGGCAATATTTGCTACCAGGATTTCCCGGTAGCAAATAAAACCCCAAAGAAAAAAGGGGTGCAAGGCCCGTCAAAGTGGCCTGTGCCAAGACAGGGGTCCCGCTTCCCCTCTCCCCATGCTGCAGAGCCCCTGCATTGAGGCACCCTGTGCTCCAGCCAGCCGCTCCCCGGCTGGCTGAGGTGCCGTGTGCCTCAAGACGGGGGAGCAGGCAGCCCTTCACAATCATCATCACTTTTTTATTTGAGGTTTTTTTGCTACCAGGAAATCCCAAGGCTGCCTGCTCCCCCATCTCCACATGCCGCTCCCTGGCTGGCCAGGGCACAGGGTACCTGAGTGTGGGCGCTGCCTGCTGCAAACACATGCCCCTGTTCATGTGGATGTGACCACGAGGTTACTTTTCAAATACTGGGTTACTAAGGACGGTATTCAAATCCACGGAGAGCACTTCTTTTCAAAGGCACTGGCTGTTGTCAGGAATGGTACATGGCCATTTACCTGGCAAAGTTCCTAGCCCTTTTCTCACCTGCAAGCTGCCTCAAACCAAAGAGAGGCATTCTTGATCTGGAAGTCTTTAAGAGATAACGGTCAAGTTAACATCTTCTGAAGACAAATAAAGGCTGAGGAACAGTTGGGGAGGGGGGAAAGGAAAGTTGAAAATAAGGAATGGGGACCATAAAATTAGGAGCAGTAAATGAGAAATGGTAGAAAAGAGGCAGACAAGTATTTCAGGGTCTCCCAAAAGTCTTTACAAAGCGGGGGCTGGTCCATTATTGGCAGTTGCTTGTCTTTAACTCCTTCACCTAACTTCCAGTATGAGATGCTGTAGATGAAAGATATAGCAATGACATTATTGCCAAATATCTGGGTGCATCATGAATTTGCTAGAAACTAATCTCTCTATATACCCCTTAAAATGCCACTGTTCTGGCTTGTCACGTCATTTTTTGACAAGCTGCTGTTATAGGGGACAGAGACTACTAGGAGCGTCCTGTTCCTCAGGCACCGCATTTGTGCTTTAGCATTAAAAAATCCATTAGGAACAAGCAGAGAAGTTAAGCAGGCTTTCCAGTTTTCATTTTATTTCCTATTACGCAATGTCTTTAACAATAATGTTTCTGAGACAAGTTCATTCATCCATTGCATGCACTAAATCACACATTTATACTTATTTGGAACAAGAGTCACTGAAATCACTCTGTACTGATGTTTTCCTGTTGGAAAATCTCTGCATGTCTTATTTGGTACAGTCAGTTCACAAGAACAAGGGAATCATAGGAGGGTAATGTAGCAGGTTATATTGCTGCAGCCTTTCCACACCTTACTCTTTCCAAACACTCCCCATTCCCCTGTAACATGCTAGGGCTCCAGGGGTGGCCATGTTGCCCCCTGGTAGTCACCCTGCTCTTTTATGTCCCTGGTCCCTTTCTGCTCTCCTACCATGACTTGATGCAAATAACTACCTAGAAAAGGGAGCCCTTGGGACCCCTGAGTGAGATCTCACCCGCTCCTGAGCCTAGGTCTCGTTTCTCAGCGCCTTAAGGGCTTACTACATGGCTTCAACCACCCCTTACACCATGCCCATGCCTCACCAGTGTCATGGCTTGCTATTGAGCGGTCTCTCTCTGCCTACACCTGCATACTTCACCCATCTGGCTATTCCCACATGTGACCCTGGGTCCCTGACCCTGATCCCACCTCTCCTGAAGCAGTGGGATCCTCGCCACGACTCTGCCTTTCTTCAAGCCGTGGGTCCCGGCCAGTCTCCAGCTGTGGCCCATCCTTGACCTTTGGCCCTCCTGGGCCCTGGCCCTGCTCCTAGGCCGGTTGAGACCTGCAGGTTCCCTGGCCCTGCTAACCCGTCCTGGGCAATGAGTCCCTGACTCTGCCTCTCACCCCTTATGGGGTGCCCATCCCTGACCCTCCTCGTTCTCACAACCGTGCAGCTGTGGTTCTGCTCTTTGCCCTTGCCTCCTACCTCTGGGGCCCTGACCCCACTTCTGAGCCAGCTGAGACCATCACTGCCCCTTGTCTCAATCCCCAGACCACAAGTCTGCTTACCCTGGCTTAGGTGTTTGCCAGGAGCCTGGCTGCAGCCCTGCTGTTCAGGAGTTGTTCACATCTCAGCTGCCAGGATCAGACTATTGCCCCAGCACTTGCTCTGGGCTTATATCCTGTAAGCCCAGACCCCTTTTAGGTCAGATGACTCCTGACTGCCTCTTGCAGCACCTGCAGACTCCTCCATCTTCAGTCTGCCTTCTCTTAAAGAGGCAGGAACACCAAGCCTTCTGCTATGCCACACTTCCACCCCACTTTTTTTTTTTAAACACAAGAAGGAGCCTGTCTTCTACATCTACTGCATAGTCAAGTGAAACTAAACAGCTGGTCATTTGCACAAAATGCTGACTCTAACAAAACTGCTCACAAAGGCAAATGGTCAGTATTTCCCTGTGTATACATTATAGTTGATCTCATATATCTCAGAGGAAATCCTGATGCTATTGAATTCAACGGCAATTTTGCCTGGCTATATCCTGTAGCTGTTAAGGGAACCTATTTATAGCACATAATAACATTCAAATGTATAAACCACTGCACATTTAAGAAGGCCAAAGCCCTTCACAAGCATCACTTAAAAATAGCACATCCAGTTCTATAAAAAGGTTGGTGGGGAGGGCTACTAGGGGACAGTTGAATCCAGGGGAGCTGTTTTCCTAAACCACAGCAAGCAAAGGTAAACTGCACTAATGAGTGAAGCTAGACCACACCGACTTACCTCCCTATGGGCACATCTACACCAGACACTTACTGTGGAGCTGCCTAATTAGCTCCATAGTAAAGCCTCAGCATCTACACATGCAGCCCTATTAGGCTGCAGTTAGCTAATTAACTCTGCTATAGCTGAGTACTTGTAAACACAAGTACTATCCTATAGTGGAGTTTTTTAGTGCAAAACTATGCATATATAGGGGCTGATAGGGCTGGCTGAGGCACAAGGGTGCTTCAGTGTGGGGGCTGCCTGCTGACTAGCACCACACTGGAGCACCCTTGTGTCCCATCCAGCCCCTCCGCAGCACGTTGAGCTGGGTGGGAGCAGGCCCGAGCTGGCAGGCTGACCCCCAGCACCGCCTGCCAGCCAGGGCTGATCTGACCTAGCTCAATGTGCTGCAGTTCCAGAACATGTGTAAACACAGCCCCCAGGAGCAATAAACTCCAGCATGAAATGCACCAAAGTTTATTGTGTCACATTAATTTCACATGTAGACAAGCCCTGTTTCATCCAGGGGTTAAATACTATGTTTTAATTTCATTGCCTATGAGTTTGGAGAGGACAAACAAAAGTTATCCTGGATTAGCTGATAAATGCTTCCAGACAGGAAGTCCTGCGCCATTTACACCAATATAACATTACGTGTTTTTATGCCTCAAGTGTCACAACACTCTCACGCAATAGGTATCAATGCTTTCATTTTGTAGCTGAAACAAATAGAACTAAGAGTTTAAGCGATTTACTGAAATCCTGTAGGGAGTCAGTGGGAAAACTGGACGTAGATGTCTTGAGCACACATCATGACCCAGCTCCCAACCTAGGAGAACATTTAAACAAGTGCTTAACATAAATAGGACTATTCGTACACTCACAATGAGAATGTGCTTCCATGTTTTGCTGAATCGGGACCCAAAAAGTACACATTTATTGGCGGTCACTCATGAAACAGAGTACATTCTTACTTGTTCTAGAGGAGACGCTAATGGATTTATTTCAGGTTTATGCCCATTTCATTGCACTCCCTTCTTCTGAATAATTTTTTAATGCATGAGACTGGAATCTGGCCTTAAGACTTTATCTTTTCTGAACATAAGACTAATTTCTTTTATGATGATCTGATTTGCCAGAGTGAAGGTCATCTCCACACAATTGCTGAAGGCCTCTCAATGGAGGCTTTTATGGCCGCAACAGGAGCACAGCAGAAGAAAATTAAACTATGTCAATAAAGGCTACATTGATTCTCCATGCATGGGCTACTCAAGAGCATTAGCCTGAGGATTTTTTATGACTGAATTTCAAGTTTATTGAAAATGGTCATTAGTGAACCAAAAATCCCCATCCATATGATTATCATCTGCAATTACTCAGGTACACAAATCCCACATGCCAAAGAGCACTGTTTGCATATTGACTGTAGCTTGACGTTAACCCTTTCATCATCTACCATCCTGCATTGCACCATCACCACCTTTGATGGATTCTATCACTAGGGGGATCAACAGATTGTCATTATAAAGCTCATTGCACCTCATAAATGGTCAGAAATGGATTTGGGGTTATAGTTTCATAGTTTCATAGTTTTAGGGTTGGAAGGGACCTAATAGATCTTCTAGCCCGAGCCCCCGCCAGGGCGGGAGAACAACAAAAAACCCTAAAAACAAAAACGGGACTCAAATGAGTCCAGCCAGGTAGGCATCCAGCCTCTTCTTAAAGACCCAAATTGGGTCAAAGTTAGAAATTGGCAAATCTTCCTGAAAAAAACAGGTGAAAGTTTCAGCATGGTATTGAATCATTGGGCAATATAGTATTAAGAGAGTCTGAGGTAATTTTTAATGTTTCATTGGAAAGTGCTTCTTTCTGTGATCAAAGACTTTGGCCCATTCTCTAAGATAGGGCTGTTAAACACACCTGGGAACCCCAGATGGATTTGGATGACGGGACTCTTGGTCACCTAGATCTGAACTGTGAGTAGCCGGTGAGTAACCATTTAAACCCAGCAGTGGTGGCACAGGTTATCATAACTGTTGCTTACCCCATTATGCAGCCAATATGCGTCCCCAGCACAGCTCCACAGTTGGGAATTTGGCAAAAGACCATGCCCTCTCTGGGAGCTCCATAGGCTGGATGTAACCCTCAGGCCACATCCTGCACACCCCTGCTCTAAAACATGTTTGGAGATGAATAGGGAGAATCACCTTTAATGTCAACTGGAATTGTCAGAGTTAATAATTTCCTACAGCTTTAAAAAGTGTAAGACTGAATATGTTGACTTGAGGCACAGCACAGAGCAAGAAATGTTGTTGAGGTGCGCCAGCACACCAAGGGGCACAGAAAGCACTTGGCCTAAAACAGAAAGCTCGACAGAATCTGAGACCCTTAATGCACAAAATACATGAAAAACCTTTTCAGTCCTAGGTGTGTGTGTGAGAAAGAGAAAGAAACGGAGGCAATTTGACCTATAGAGTCAGTCCTGCAAGGGTCTGAACACCTTGGTTCTTATTTGGCGAAGCCCAACAGTAACTATGTGACTAACTTCATTGACTTCAAGGGGAATAGTCTTTGCTTAAAGTTAAGTATGTGCTTAAGTGCTTTGAGTCCAGAGTACTCAACAAGTTGCAGGATCAAGCCTAGTGCATGTGGAATGATCATATCTTGAAACCCCCATCGAGAACTATTTTACACATAGTTTCTTTTCATTGTTATCAATAAGGATACAAGCAGAGGCAAGTTGCAGCCAGTGTGAGTAAAGATGGAGGAATTGGGTACAACATTTTGGAAGCACAGGAAATAATAAAACCTGGATTTTTCAAAGAAGTCCAAGTGAACTAGATACCCAGTTCCCACTGCACTTCTGTAGGAGCTAAGTTCCTACCACTCTCTGTTTTATGGGATGCTTTATTTATTTTCTTTATTTGTTGTCAGATCCAACCAAACCTGGGGAAAATGACAGTTGGAATTGACTTTCTTAATTTAATCTCTCATAAAACTGACAAAATTGACTGTCAGGATTGACTTTTCTCATTTCATGTTACTGACTGTGCCATTTACTTCTTAATGGGAAACTTTATGGCTAAAGTTTATTATGCAGCAACATTTCAAAACTTTAGCTTTGATGTTGTTGCCTTTATATTTACTAAGCAAGCCCAACAGTCACTAAAATATTTGTAGTTTAACAACACTAATAAATTGGTAACATTTTTTTTTAAAACTTCATCCTTGAAGAAAATCCCTGTGGAAATTAATGGGAACACCACCAGCAGAACAGCATCGTCTGAAAGCATGTACAATTTAATAGGGAATGATAACATTTCTACCTTTAACCCACTCCACTATAATCTTGCTATTAAATTCTGCATGGCGATTAAAGAATATAAAAGTAATTTTACTCTATTAAATCCCATGATCCACGAATCATTTCCCAAACAAAGTTTCACTTTAAACAAAACAGGATTTCACCACTAAGCAAGTTTTGTCAATGAAAGCACCCAATCAAGTCTCATTTCCAATGTCGTATCCTGTAAAAATCTTTCTGAAATGCTGTAATCCCTCCTTGTAAAATATGGCCTGTTTCTATCATTAACACCTCATTAAAAAAATCCCCCAAATACTTATTTCTGTAAAGTTGCTTTACAGATTATGATAGGAAAACAAATGCATCTGTTCCTATGATAAGTGACTTTCAAGTATCTATTAAGTGAACTTGCAAATGTCTATTAAAATATCTATTAAATATCGATTATGACGTGTGTGGCATGCAGCAGCAATGTCCTACCCTGTGAAATACTGAGCAAGCCCTTGGGCTACAAGGACATCCTGGGAGTACCCCTATGTGTAAATTATATTCTTTCCTGGACCAGGGAAGCTGGCAAGGAGGTTTTTGCAGACAGCAGGGTAGATTAGCAGGGGTTGGCAAGACTACTGTTAACATGCAACTGTGGGAATAACTCCAATGACACAAACCCCATGTGTGAATGTGGAAGAAACTACGAGACTTCAGACCCCTTACTTGTATATAGGGGAACCATGCACCAATGAGGACCTCGTTAAGACTACAGAAAGAGCAATAGAGCATGGAGCAATAGTACATGCCCATTTTTTGACCCAAATTCGAACCTGGTCCAGAAGACATGAGAAGATGAGGACTAAATCTGAGACATATAGCATTAGCCTATGTGCTACAAATCTACCCTGCCTAATTTTTTATTTATTTATTTATTTATTTATTTTTTGCAAACACCTCTCTGTCATCTTCCCTGAGCCAGGAAAGAATAGAAGCATGGATTTAAATTTACACATGTGAGTAGTGTAGAGTTATCAACCTACGGATTCAACGCCCATTGAAGTCTAAGTGTGATTTTTCTATT